TGCTAGGCAGACCTGTGGCAAGGACACATTAAATCTCTTTTGCAGCTTTGAGCCATAGGACATCCCAAAGTTAGTACTTCCCCAGCAAGGCAGCAGAGGTGTTACCAGCTGCCTGCTGGTACAATACTGCCTTCAGTAGAACACTTACGGAGGTCCACTGCGACAGCATCTGTAAAGTAGCGGGGTTGGAAACACTGCATGTCCTTCTTGTGGGTAAATGCCCTCCTCATGTCTGTGCCCTTGTGAAAAGTACACCTCTTGGAGCTGGCTTCGATGAATCCTGCTCTTTGTGGGTGTTGTTTTCATTGCTCAGCTGTGCTAACCACAGTGTTTTCTCAGAGGTAGGTGGGTAGGTAAACAGCATGTTGCAAGAGGCATTTTCTGGCAATTAGTTCTGACCTACTTTGTTTACTGGCATCTGGGCTGTTTGTAAATACCAAAATCAAAAAAGATCTTTCCAATTTTAGACAAGTGTCCCAAGCCCTCAGTGTGGTGTTCAGATGCCCTCAGAGGAAGTATGGGTTATTTCTGCAGTGAGCAGGACTAATGGTCTCTTGTGCTTGATAGAGGGTTGTAATGTAAATATAAACATGTTATTACTTGAATGAACTGATTTATAATCATCCTTTCTTTTAGAGACATTGTCCCCAGAGAAGTCAAGGTGTTGGTGATGTGTTTGCCTGGCGTGTTGTAGTACCACCCCACTGGCTCAGTGCTTTTAGTTGCCTGCCTGGGGCTTGCAAACTGCATGGGGTGCATCTTCTGCTTGGTGGGCTCATGCTTCAGTCAGCCATGAGGAGGAACTCGGAAGCTGAGTGCCACCAAGAACTGAGTTTGCCCCGGTGTAATCTGGAGCAGGCAGGAATATGCTGGAGCACTGGATGAAGGAAGATAGTCAGGTGGCACACTGAGCACACTTCCCACTTCCTAGAGAGTACTCTGCATCTTGGTGGGTGCCGGCAGCCCCATACAAAATATTTCAGGCCATTCTTTATTCCTTGGCCCAGAGCAGAGGTGAGAATGTCATCCCCTCTCTGGATTAGATTGGTCCTAAACAGTACGTTCTGTGATACGCTAGGAATTCGGCATCCCATGCGAAGATGACACGTCTGCTTTTGTAGTGATACTGAGCGTGTGTTGAAGCCATCAGCACAGCTAGGACTCAGTTATTCAGGCTTTTTTGTCAACTGAGTTTTATCGTTTTCACTGCCAGAACTCTTTAAGAAAACAAAGAACTTCTGCATCTCTTAGTACCCGCAGTCCTGGGTTTTATTCCATTAACTGTGGAGACTGCGGATTCCGGTTAAAATAATCTGCTTCTGGAAAGCGGAGAAGTTGACCCTGTTTGTTCTGCCCAGAAAGATGCCAATTAGTGCTCCACTCGAGTCAAAATTTAACAAAGGCTCCAATGTTCCTGTGCCTGTTGCTCAACAAGATTGTTTATCAATTTACAGGGAGGCCACGCTGCCTTTTCAAAGTGCTGCTGGAGGCCTCCCAGCAGCAGTAACAGAGACGCCGCTCATTGTTTAAATGCCACTGGATGCGAGAATGGCAGACTGATGCCTGGTTTCCTTTCATTTTATGATGATCTAATTGCAAGAGATATGTAATTCCTCGTTGTGTCAGGGAAGTTTTTTTCTCCAGCATCTGGTACTTCTCTGATTATCTACAAATGGTATCTGAAAATTAATAGGAGATCCAGCTCTCATGTAAGAAATGTTAGTGGGAACCGTTGCCTGCACAAAGCCCGAGGAGACTTCAGAGTCGGCAAGAACTGGCTTTGTCAGTGAACGTATAATTTTCTTTTTTCTTTTTTTTTTAACGTCCTAGTAAATTACAGGCTTTGCTTATGGTTTGAAGAAATGTGTTCTACAAATGTTGTAGCATCTGTATGCTGCTGTTTTTACTGCAGCCGTTGTGCAGGTCATTAATCTGATCTCACGTCGTAAAAATTTCTCCACCCTCTTCATGAGTTTCTTTGTTATCATAACACTTTCCAATGCCTTGGCGCCTAACTCCACTGCGCTCCCTTGTAATTACCCAGGGCAGAACAACCGCGTTTTTATCCTCCACGTGCTTGGCTCCCGCCGCGGTGTTGCCGAGCCCCCCGCTCGCTGCATCTCTGCAGCAGACTGCACATCCAGGAACACATGGGAGCTCGGGAGGGCTGGTCCTGGTGCCTGGGGAGACTTTTGGGCAACAGACCCTCTCCTCTTGGCCTCTTCAGCTGCTTGCCAGCATGAGCTCATGGCGCAAGCCCGGAGAGGGGAAGTGGCAGCCGCAGATGCTCCTGCATCTGATACTTCGTTTTCACCTCTCTGATCAGTGTCAGACACCTGTAGAGGCACAAGGGTTGTTGCCATCCGGTGCTGTGGAAGGGGAATGGTTGAGCAAACCCCTTCTAAGCAAGGTGAAGGGAGCCGGCAGCTCTGCCTGGGCTGCGGGGAAGGTCTGTAACAGGCAGTAATGGGGATGTCCAGCCATTGCAAAGCTGTATGTGAAGTGAGCACTGCTGGGAAAACAATGGTTTTTGGAAAGAGTAATTTTTGGGAACTTGCCTAAGCACGGGTCCCCAGAGGTGTCTGGGAAGGAAGAGCTCATGGGAACATGTCACGGGCACAATCAGCACCTGGTACATTCAAAGGGTGTAGTCTGAAGTAATGGTCTCCACCAAAAACTAGGCGAATTTCATCAGCTTTTCATAACTGACAGGAGGACAGTGCTTAAGGTTTGCTGCCTACTGGGCAAACACTCTCCCAAGGGGACGTAGCAGGCAGGAGGAGGGGATTCTGGTTACCTCTGGGGAAAGGAGCTGAGGCTTTAAGCTGGGAGGCATTTTCCAAGGAGAGGATGTGGGTCTTGGCTCCGTGGTACGTTCTGGCTCCCAGTGATAACACGCTTCCCTCCCTTTTCCAGAGCAGCAGCCTCCATGGGCCCACAGCAAGGGATCTCAGGGCAGCGGTCAGCCAGGCACCACCATCAGCCTCACAAGGTGGCTTTGCTCTGTAGATTGGCTCTCAGACAGGGCTGGCCTCTGCCACCCCAGCCTGTCACAGTTTATTTTCCTAGCCCTATTGTCTAAGCCTCGGCCAAACTACACCTTTTTCCAAGAATCCCAATAACCTCATGTTTTTCAAGCAGTGAACCATGGCAAGGCTGAGGCGCACTAAGCCAGCAGCACCGTCCCTTGACAGCGCCATGGCATTTAGCAGGGTAACACCAACAGCTTTAAAAGATTCCATTTTCCATAACTGTAAGGTGAAAGAGAAATGCATGGCACTGAATATTTGCAAAATACAGATGCCAGGCTGCCTGAAAACTTCTAACAGCACTGGGCTCTGCATTAAGAAGTCAAGTGTTCAGCCAGCAATTGCTAACGCTGCTGACTGCAAAGCAAATGGTGCTGCTGTCCTGCGTGGGTCTGAGAACAGGGTGTAAGAGGTGAAGCCCATGTTCATTTTATCATGAGTCCGTGATTAGAAAAGCTTAGGAATGGACGTACCACTCATCCCTGCTCCTACCAGCTCCACTTTTCTTCACACTTCCTAAAATTGGTGTGAGGGCTTACTACCAGCTCTTGACACAGTGGGGAATGAGACATCTTAATGGTGGCCTGGATTTGAGCTTCAGCCTGAAGACTAACTGCAATTTCACACAGATTTAAGTTAGACCCCACCTGAACCAAAAGGGGTGTCTCTTCCGTCAGGCAGAGCTTGCCTTAGGTATTTTTCCTTTTTTTTTTCCACCCGCAAGTAGGGACTGGTCAGATGAACTCAGGAGATCTGGCTAACCTTGGGGATACATGAAGACCAAGCCAAACCAAAGGTAGAAGTCTCTGGCTGGAAAGGGGGTTGGTGTTTCTTTGGCTGTGTGGCTTAAAGGTGAGCTTCAGGTGTAGCTGTCAGACTGCAGGGCGGAAGACAACAGATGTTTGTTGTCGTCTCTGCAAGCAAGGAAGAAAAGACATATAGCTTCTCCTCTTTTTTTCTCTGCTCTACAACCCATGTTTCTGTGTTTTAAGGTATGGCTCTGAGATGATTACTCTTGGCTGAGCAGAGAGGTGGGTATGCCCAAATAGAAGAGCCCATTAGACCATGTCAGTGCAGAAGCTTGTACCTCTGCACTCCCAGGATTATGGCTTCAAAACATTTCCCTGGGCTTGGGGACCAGGCAAAGGCTTGCCAAGGATCCTCTGATACATAAATCTTCCCATCACTTCTCCTGCAGAGGGGCCTGGGAAACTGAGCCACAGAGGTGTTGGCTGTACTCTTCCTGCTCAGTCAAGTCAGCTACTCGGCTGTAAGGCTAGGACTCCAGCCAAGAGGTCTTTTTGTAAGTGGTCACTACAATCTGAGCACTAGTAAAATTAATGGTCAAAACCAAAAAGTTAGCATTTTCCAGACCCTCTAAAGGCTTTGACAGAGGCACTTTGGCAGATCTAGCTGGGAATGCTTAAGACATCACTGTCCCCTGGTATCCTCCTCATCCACCTGCTAACAGCTTCTGCTTCTGTAGCAGAGAAGGTCCGGCAGGGGTTTAGCCAGGCCAGGCACCAGTCTGGCGTCTAAACTCAAATCCAGCTCTAACAGCAGCCCTTAAAGCTAAACCTCCTCACTTGAGTCTGAAACAGTGGCTGAAACTCAGTCTGCAGGGAACAGGCAGAAACGAGCAGTGGGCTTGAGAAATGCTGTCATCTTCAGCAACGCCAGTCTGTGGTGACCATACACCCTGGTATCAGGTCCCTCTAAAACTGTGTCAGAAACTTTAATGCTCCATAGCCACATATTGATGTTTTACTCTATTGGCTCCACTGAGTTCAATATAGTTGGCTTTGCAAGAGCTGCAGGCCCCGAGTTCAGTGAAAACGCCTGCGGTAAGAGCAGGAAGCCCATGCTGTTTAAGGCATTATAACAACATAGTCATCCCTTTGGAAAAATGAGTATGGCCCCGACATCAGTTTAGATCACAATTTTAATGTTTAAAAACTATAGAGGTAACAGAGAGGTTATAGAACTTAAGACATTTTTTTTGTATTTACACACAGAAACTGAAAAACTGCATCGTTTATTTGGATATGAGCAGCACAAAGTATGGTGATGTTAGCAGGAGCAAAACTTTATCAATGACTCACTTCACCAATCTATTAGAGACGAACTCATACCAAGCGTACATCATTCAAACAGCGTTGTTTATACTGGATCTGGGTGAGCCTTAACATACCTTGGGACACTAAAAACAGGTTTCTATAAACAAGTTAGAGTTCAAGTCTTGTGGAAAAGTACCTTTACAGTTTATATTTTGTTGGCTATAACACTGAAAACAAAACGTACACTTGTATTACTTTGAAAAGCTCTGTAGAAGTGACTGCATATAGGTTTATTTCCTCAAATTTGTGCTCACGGTGAAAGCAAACGTTATTTCAAGTTTCATTTCATCCAAGACCATAAAGTAAACATGGGCAAAAATACAATTATTTTTAGATGCATTTATCAACCTCTGTTTTTTCAGCAATCCTGAAAAAACACGTTTCCGTGCTTTACCCACGAGAAAGTCTACGCAAGGCTCTTGATGGAGGCACTCTCGGGACATACACAACCCTCCCCTCCCATCATCCTCACCCCTGGACACGCAGCTGTCCCACGACCAAAATACTGGCCTCTGCCAGCTCGTGGGGTGGGATGTGCAAGCAGTCCCTGGCTGGGGATGCTCTCGTCAGCCTCAGTGTTTTGGTCGCATGATAGCAGCGTGCCTGGGTCTGCAGGAAGGGAGCGGGCTGAAAACGGCACAAATTGCTCTGGTTGCTGCCCACCCCTGGCTTGTCGTACTTCTTTTTTCTGAACTACAGGCATTTCTGGTGGCTGAAAATGGAAATGCAGAAGTCCTGCCCTGACTTCTGTTTGTACTAGTTGGGTAAATACACGCCTGGATACAACATGGCGTAATGCTGGGTCAAATTGCTGGCTGCAGTTGGCTCTGGTTTCTGCGTAAAGCCTTTTCAGCACTTTAACTACCACCTGCCCTCAGCTGAGGACATAGGGGTACCTGGGCACCAAAGGGGGCCTTTTACAAGGGAGATACTTTACCCAGCAGGAAGACTGGCTGACTTGCTGTTGAGAAAATGGGGAGTTCATGTGCTGTGGAATTAACCCTAGCAATTTAATTGGACCTTTTATTTCTCTTTTTCTTGTTACATTCGCAATGCAATTATAATTTCAAGTTTAGGATTTAACTTGTGAACTCTTGGGAGAAAGGAAAGGATATACATTTTGCTAAGTCAGAAGCTAAAGTATTTGTATTTCTATTAAAATTATTCTTAATATGCAGGGCCTATCTCAACACTTCTATATCATCAGGGATAAACAACTGCAAAAATATACAGCATCCTATTTATTTACAATATATATGTACATAAAAATGAAATTTCCTACAATACAACACAACTGCATAGATTTGTTTTCAGAAACAAATGTATGTGTACAATTTGTGAATGCTAAACCTTTCCAGCCCTGTACTTATTATTATCTTTTTTTTTTTTCACAGTTTGTTACAGAAATCCTTACATTAGATACAAATAAAACATTCTTTGTGTAAGTTACAGGAAATAAGGATTTTCCTGGCACCAAGGGCTCTGGGGAATTGTTTAAGAAAGCACCCTGGCACCAGGCGATAAAGCCATCTCGTGGAGCTGCTGATGGAGCTGAATACATTCTGCTGTGCCTTTCTCCTGTAGGCACTGGGGTTAGACGGTAGGACTGGAGGTGGGACACCACCACATGGGAAGAGTTTTGTTTTGACCAAGATGCTCTTTAGCCTTAATGTAAGGTTCAAGCAAAGAAACATATTCATTTAAAGATAAGCTAGAGATACCATTAATAGTTACCGTTAATATCAGAGCGAGCTGTGGTGCTTATGCATTGTAGGGCGGACGTTCAGACACAACCCATATATCATCCAACCTGTATTTGCACGTGTGACCCATTGCAAGTGGAGCAGAAGCTGTGGGTCAGCATGTGGGAAGCAGCCCTCGGGAGCGGATGGGCATCCCCACCCCTGACCTGGCAGGGTAAGACCGGCCCTTCTGCCCTGGCCCTGCACAGGGGCCAGGCACCACTCGGTCCGTGTCAGCCCTACAAAAGGTCTGTGCCAGTGCACGGATTTGTCATTGGCCCTCTGCCCAGGAGCAAGCATCACCCAGAGAGGTCACTGCTCCCGAGATACTGTTCCCAAAGAACACTTCACTGTGTTGTACTTACTAGGTGTGTTTGCCTTCGGACAGAGAAGGGCAGCTGTATTCTGCAATGGTAAGGGTGCTTTAAGCCCATGACTATTTTCTTTGCAATGTGCTGTGGACTAGGAGAGGCAGCAAGGCTGTCTTTTAAGTATAGGATTAATTCCTACAATCTTATTAGGAGCCCCTGCTTCTAATTAGTCCTTCCTTGTCCCTCGCCACTCAATTGTTGCCATTACGCAAAGGAGAATTTTGAAGTACTTTGTTGTAGTTATTAGGAGCAATTTTGCATCCAGTCTACGACATTTGCAGTTCTCACAATAGTGATAAACTCTCTATGAAAAGAAAGCATGCTACCACCTACTAAGTAGATACGGTACTCTGGATCCTATTAATTTAACAATAGAGAAACTCCTACAGCATTTCACTGTGCTCTTAAAATCCTAGCTAAAATGTGGGACTCGTACATCGTTGGCTACAAGTTCACTATTTCAAATGAACTGAACAACAGCAGTACATTTTACAGATAACCTCATACAAATATTGTCATCCATCACTGATGTTGACAGTTACAGCAGGGTCTATTGCATTCTGTTAAGAATGTATAAACCTGATGAGAAAACAAAAAGCACGTTATTTCACGTTCATTACCACAGACATCAATAAACACATGATTCCTTTCCATAAATATCTATAAATATGATGCCAGTAAATCAGTCTAAGCAAAATTCCCTCTTTTTTTTTTTTTTCCAGAGACTCAGAAACAAAATCTGTTTAAAGACTCAATATGGGTATCTATTGGGTATCTATTTTTCAGTATCTAAGATATGATTTGATGGTCCAGTACCTTTCACTCCATGCACACACCCAGCTCATTATTCTCCCTATTTATCCAGTAAAACTCCAGTATACAAACACACCAGGAAAAAGAAGGTGGCAGAATAGCAAAGAGGAGAGAGAGGGATACTGATGGAGGAGATTTAGGAAGATGCAAGGAGCAATCAGTCACCCAAAAGTCCTTCAAGTCGAAGGAAGCTGGGTGCCAAAACTCAATGGTTGGTATTCTAAACACGGGACTACAGACTATTTGGGCAGGGGGTGGGAGGGAGATGTTGCAGTTGTGACCTTGCTGGGACCCTGTGCAGCAGATCAGACCTCTAGCTCCTACCTGAAAGCCGCTCCCAGGATCTCCTCTCTCACAACCCCCCGATGCACAGAGCTGCACGGCTCGTAAATCAGTAGTAGAAGAAGGATAAAGGGCGGAGGGAAAGCAGGAGAGCCCTGGAGCATTTTGAGGATAACATTGCACAGCATTCTCAGGTCTGAGTTAGGTTTTTTGGGGTGAGATCCAGAGAGATTATAAGGCACCTCGAAACCTGAAATGTGACCCCAGCAAGCTGAGTCAGAAAACAGAGTGAGATGCTGGGCTCCTGCTGCAATGACCAGAGGGAGTTGTGTGTCTGTGAAAGGGGAGACACAAACTTACACCCCAAGCTGGGAAGATGCCTGGAACGAGCTGCGAGGAGGTAGGAACCAAGCATGGGTTCTTCTCTCCAGAGTTTGGCTAACACCTGGGCTCATAGGCTATGGTATGGACTACTTGTCTGTGAATCAGGGCAGGGATCAGTCCCATAAAGAGACATCGCAGAGAAAGCTGGTGACCTGCACCATCACAGGCAAGCGTTTGAGAACAGCTATCAGAATGCACGAGCTGCCTCAGCCCAGGGGGCCCCAGGTAGCTCAGCAGTTTGTGTGTTAAAAGCTGGGTGCTTGGGAGGAAGGATGCTGGACTGGAGACCTTGCTGGGAGCCTGTGTCACAAGGAGTGAAAGTCTGAAGGGCCAGGAGGAGGACAGATGGAGGGAACCCTGCTCTGCAGTCTAGAGGGAGGAGGCTTCCAGTTTTGTTCTTGCTGTGGGGCTGGTCCAAGGACTTGGGCAGCCTGCGGAGTCTACTCTGCCTTATTTCTGGATCACAGTGGAATATCGGCAGAGCTGGGTACCTCACTGCCTAGGCTGAGGTACAGATCTAGAAGTCTGTGTTCAGTAGGTTTAGGTTCTGCAGTGTGAGCGCTCTGCTTCTCGATGCCCAATTTCCAAGGCAGGCCCCAAACTAACCTCTCTGGATGTTACCCTCAGAAACCAGCTTTCAAGGTCCTGAGAAGTGCTCTGTGATCTCAACTCTCAGTGACTTCTAGCCTTGTAGGACAAGGCAACGGCAACTGAGGCGATTCAATAGCTCACAGAAATCCCAAGATCCCGAATTCTCCATCCCTAACCTTAAAAAGAGCAAGCTGCAATGCCGGGTTCCCCACAGCTGATGACAAGTCTCCTTCCACAGTTACAACCAGAGTCGGCAATGAATCAGCTACTGGGAACAAGAGGGTCACCGCATACTGGCAGGTACGGCTCGAGCACACCGAGGGCACCACTCAGCCCTTGGGCATGGAACGGGGCTCCCTTTAGCCATCGGTTCTTTGACTGGGAGCCGGGTTTGTGTTTTGAGACACTGTTTAGCTCACACGGTGAATGACACGAAGTGAACACATGTATGCTGCCGGCAGTGCACTAATGAAGGATGTCTGCTCAGGATGGTTAATGATCACCTGCTTAGCGTTTGAGTCTCTATAAGTAGTTCTCTACACCAGCTATAAGGCATTAGGCAAATGCTTATTTTGTGGACAACAGATGCAAGTTACAGTGTTTCTGCTAGTAGTAATTGAAGGTCTTTTCTTTAACTGTTATGGAGAATCGATGAGAAATGTAAATGAAACATTTTAAATATAAAAAGTGTTTCTGTTTGTTCAAAGAAATGATTTCAATTTCCATTAGAAATCCAGTAGTTTGGCAGGGTGAGTCAAATCCTGCTCCCGCTGCTGTCAAAAACCCGGCTGACTTCAGTGGGAGGAGGGCAAGAAACAGCAGAGGAGCCAGTCTACAAGGTATGTACAGAAGAATCCCAGAACGGAAAAGGCATGAGGTATGATTAAATGCGTAGGTTTTGATAAAACTGGAGCTTGCTATTTTTATTTTTTTTTTTCTGAGAGAAGTGGGGCTGAAGAAAACACAGACTTCCTATGGAAATCTCCAAGTGTCTGCTTCTCCTCAGGCTCAAGTACTCATGGCTGGGGGTCAAGCCTAGTTCTGGGCAGGCTCCAGCTGAAGTATGCCAGGGGAGCGGTGGCTGGTAGTGGTGGCTGTCTTTCTCCTGCTCCCTGCACCCCATCACACAGACACACAGGTCTGCTCCCTGAATCCACAAAACAGCCAAGCCCTGGGGCTGGCTCCCCCACCAGAACATCAGAGAGAAGCAACAGATTTAGGACCTACTCTTGTACAATGCTCATTTATGCTCTTGTAGCGCCTTTTGTGCTCGTATCCAGAATACTACGCTTGACCCAATGAGGCAAACGGTGCACGAAACAGCAAGAGAAGAACCAAACAAACCAACAAACCTGATGTGTACAGCTGGAAAGCAGAGTTTTGGCTAAAAGGTTGGGGGCAAGGGTGTGAACTGATATCACTCCAGCTGGGAGTGATAACAAGAGGCGCTGCTGCCCTAAAGGAGCAGAGCTTATGGTTGAAGGGCTAAGGATAATAACAGAACAATGCAATTCATGGGTGGAAGAGAGGAAACAAATTAACTGTGATGAACATTTATGAACAATGCTCTATATAGTCTCACAGACAATTAACACAGACTTTAGGCTGATCTGACAACTCAGTATTGGGGGACAGAGTGATATGCCTGTTGGAAAAATGGGTTTGTTTTCTGCAAGAAAATATGCCCATAACAGTATTTTCAGTACTGGATAATCATTATTTGGATTTGATTTGAGTAAACTCACAAAAGATGGAACAGATAACAGAACGGATGGTTGCGATTTTGGTGTGTAGCAAACAGGGGTGTCTTCAGAAGGAGGTGAACTTCAGTGGCCTTCGGCACTGCCTCCTGATTGTACCCAGTCATAGATGACCAAGGGAATGCTCACTAGGGAAAACATTATCCCCAGTGCCAAGAAAAGAGAAGCCTGGAACAAAAAGGAGAGAAAATTAATGAATAAAAAGAAAAGACAATTAATTCAAGTATGTTAACTTTTCCTCTTAAGGAGTTTTACAAGGTGATGTATCACAGTTATCAGCTAAAATGGGATAGCACTTCTGGCAAAGACAAGACGCATAGATAATTAAACAGATTAGCATCATTAATAAATTACTCACTGAACAGCAAAACCAATTTTTTTCTCCTTTCAATTCACTTCTTTAACACCGATCATCCCTAAAAAGGATTAAGCGAGTCTGGTTTTAGGACCTATCGGCTCTGCTCTTTTCAAAGCCTCACAGAAATAAGTACGCTATTCCCATCAGATACGTGTACATTTCAGCCCTTTCATCTTGGGGTCTGTGGATGGAACCACAAGTGAAACACAGGTTTCCTGCCTGTCTGCTCAGAGCAGGAAGTTCTGACCTTACGATGCTTCCCCTACGCACCCCATTAGACTGGGAATACACCGGGGTGTCGTGTCTTTTCAGCTGCAGCTCTTTCGGGGGCTCACAGGAAATCTTTCCAAGGCCCATCCCCATCTGCTCATGCATGCCCATGGGCTAACACTTCAGCTGGCTGCTTCTGGTGGAAGCACCCTAAGTCTGAATCGGGACCATTAAAATCATGAGGAATACTGCAAATGGAGCACATTGCATGCTTTCTGGATCAGCACACTGAAACTGAGAGAGCTTGCTGGGCTGAAAGGGCTGCCGAAGAGGGCTGGAGGGGTACCTGCATTTTTCTGCAGAGCTGCCACTTGCCAGCCAGGGGAAGAAAGAGCCCCTTGCCCTGCAGAGAAGGGCCCCCCAAAACACAAGGTGCCCTGCATGGTACAAACCCTCCACTGGGAGACCCCCAGGGTAAGCAAAGAAGACAGGCAAGCACAGCTGCCAGCTGACCAAAGCAAGGAAGGAAAGTAACATAAAGAATCTCACACATACGTTCAGATTAGGCACGCTTTGCGTCTAGCACATTATAACGAATGACAAGACGAAGGAGTTGCATTGACGGGAAAGGAATGCATACCCAAATCCTCTGAGTCAACTTGGATCCATCTTGCTGTGTAATTTTTAAATACAATGATGAAGGAAGAATGAAAATCAGCATATTGGCAGAAGTGACCCCTGCAAAATTCAAAGAAGCAAGTTTTGTTAGTTGTCAGCATCGGCTAATTACTGTGTTGCTGATTAGGAACAGTCTTTTATTAGTAGTACAAAACCAGGATACTGTACCTACAACTCCGAAAATATCCTTCATGGTTGGGATAAAAATGACTAACAGGTTGATGATAACCAAAAGAACAAAAGTAACCGAAACATGATGGCAAGTGTCGTATTTTGTTTTCCTAGCCATTTCAAATAATGATGAACGCACCTGTAGAAAGAGAGAGAGTTCTCTGTCAGGAAGAGTCTCTAAGCCAATTCAAAGCTTCCCATATTTATTTTAACCAGCTCTTCACGCGACAACAAGCGCTGCATAGATCTGTCAGAAACTTTGGGGTCTCGGATGTAATGCCCTTTGAAATAATTCTTAAAATTCATTTGATATTTAAAAGATGTAGGTATGCATGTGTATGCAGTAGGATGTTCCTCCCTTCCTGACATGCCTTTTGGGGTCCTTCTGCACTTAAAAATGACCTTCACCCCTGAGCCTGCTCCAGTGAAGTCATGTGAAGTAAGAGAGGGCCCTTGTGGATTAAATTTAAAACAGATTTAAGACCAAAAGTGGTTAATTTATTTCCTGTAGGGAGAACTTCTCCAGAAGTTAGTGGGAGTCCGGTGTGGGAAAAGACTGATCCAAGCTCAAGCTCTTTTTGTAGCTGCAACATCGCTGCCACGGCGACTGCTGGGCTGTGGCTTGAAGAAATGTGCCCTGTACAGCCACTACCGACTTCCAAACCATGTGAAGCCTTTTACTCACAGTGAAAAACAGCACCGGCACCGTGAGTATCACCGCAACGATCACAGCCAAGCGCACGGTCAGGATGAGGATGTCGTCTTTGCTCTGGTACTTGTGAAGCAGATCTGACTGCACATCGTCTATGGAAAAGACAGTAAGGTAAGTGTTCTGGCAAACGGGCAGTCCGTTCACAAAAAATCATGGCTTAACAACAGCCTTCTTGAACAACAAGTGATTTATCTGCAAACGAAAGAGTACAGAATGAAACATTCTTGAGTTGAAACAGCACCAAATCCTAATGATCCCATTATTCCAGATTAATCCTTTGGAGGCCTGATTTAGGAATGCACCCTAATTCAAGACAGCACATGCCTAAGTCTAAGGTAATTTTCACTGTAGGAAAGACAACAGTGAGACATACACAAAAGCTTGCTTACATATATACGGATATTTAAAAAAGTAAAGTGAAATAAGCTGTTTCTAATTGGTTCTGTGGGCTTTTTTTTTTTTTTAACGTTCCAAACGATACAGAAAACCCACATGCACTGCAACAGCTGAACTTTAATAAAACTATAAGGTTTTGAGCTCAATTAGTCTAAGCAGCAAATAAACTTCCAGCGAAAAGCAGTGCCCCTGTTCTCAATGGAGAACAAAGCCTATCTTGGGTCAGCTCTCAGTGGGATGCTCTGACATTTGGACTCACATCCCTCGGCAGCTCCTCTGAGGGCTGCCCTGATGGTTTTTTCTCTTGAACCTGCCCCCATGGGGAGGCGCTGGTGATATTTTAAGACAACCTCCTGCAAAAAATGTTTCCTTGAAGCTGTGATAAATAGCGCAGAGTTGGTCTGCGTGTGCCGACCAACAGGGAAACCAAGTTGCTGAGGGACCTATGTGTTTTCTTTGTAAGGCTTAAATATCTAGGAGCAATAACCTAAAGGAGGTGGCTGTTAAGCACGCCACAAAACCATACTCGCTGCCCCTGTTTAGGCTTGTGTTTTGTTTCTGCCTGCTAATTTAGAAAGCTGGTGGTAAAACGTAACAGCTCTTAAACCAAAGTCCTTAAAGGGAACTCAGCAGCCACGTCTCGTTTAAAATCTTTGGCGCTTGGTAAAACCTCATGTATTCCTGGAGGCAGAGGGATCTGTCCTGCGGCCAAATGCCTGCGCTCCCCCCAGGACGCCCTTCTGGGGAGACACCATGGGTCAACACCACCTACGCAGTGCTTGAATCCCCACCAGGAGAAAGAAAACACTCTCCCACCTCCCTGCAGATTAGGAGTGGGGTTTTCAAGCCGGGCACATGCACAGCTTCTGCGACACAGAGCTTACTCTGCTCCTGCAAGCACAGACTGCAACTTCTGTACCGCTCACGGACTGCAGCCAGGTAGGAAGTGAAGGGCAAGGCTTACAGTTGAAGGTCTGTTTTCCTTTCAGCTAGATACACCACAGAGCCCAACCACAGTGTGACCTTTTAGGGGAAGAAAAACACCTCTTTTCTGTAATTCTGCAATGTAAATATAGTCATCACTGCAACACTTTTGAGAATACAGCAAACAGACAAGCACTATTGGTGTAAAGAAGAAATGGCCACAATAAAAATGCTGTTCTTATCCAGGTAAGGGTAGAGAAGAGGGTTAGAAAACTGTAAGTGAGCATATGAAAGGTAAGGTCTTGTCAGTCTCAAGGGGAAGAAGGATCAAAGTGGAGGGATTTTATATTCCCTTGGTGTCTTTTTTGCTGCCTGCCGTGGCGCTGGCCCTCGCAGAAGCCCCAGAGGAGCCGCACAGCTTCCACCTGCGGGCTCTCGGCGCTGGGGAGCAGGGACGTCTGGCGTGGGGAGAGGCACACGAGACACCCCAGGGATTCCTCCGCCGTTCCCCCTCGGGAGGGCCAGAAGGACGCAGCCCCTACCTCCTCCATGGACTCCAGACCCTCGTCCTTGAGGGGCGTGGGAGATTCCCAGAGAGGAGCGCCACGGATCTGCCTCCTCAGATCCCTGGGGCAATCACATCAGAATCTCCTCCCTGCCAAAGTGAAGGGGTCCATGCTGATTTACACCCACTTGCTCCCCTGGACTGCTAATTTGATGCATTTCTACGACAATGTGTTAGACGGGAGCAGTTGGATGAGAACGGCTGTTGTCACTTGCAGGGTATTGGCGGTGTTATTGGGAAAGTTACAACAGGCGACCTGAAGTTACTTCAACGCATGCAGACTCAAGGCCTCATAATCAGAATGAGAGCCTGAGAAAACAAATATGAGATAGGTACACCTTTGGGGGAGAAAAAAAAAAAAAGCCACATTTCATATTTACTTATTTTCTTTCTCTTGCAATACGTGGCTCACAAGGAACGGTACCATGAATAAGGAGATTGTAACAAAAAGGTCACTTGGAATAAAGTGGAGAAGACTGACGACCTTTTGATGACTCCGAGGTAAAATGCAAACATCAGTTTTGTCATCTGTCTTGTAACCCCTTAAAGGTCCATGGAAAAAGACACTACTCATCAGCATTCCCATTATACTAGAGCATGGGAGCAGCTTCCTGAGCAAGGCTCATATTTTATCCTACTTAATAACTGTGCCTTTGGGGCATACATGTTGAATCCTTTAACAATACAACATAATTTGTTTGTTTCTTTAAGTGAATTGATATGCATGAAAAGAGACAGGGCGCAAGTCTCAAACACTGCAATAACCATCCTTTGGCGGCTGAGCTGGGACAACACTCGGAGCTTCCCCACCTTCACTGCCAATTTGTTTCACCAAGACCTGATAGGGTCAGCTCTAGGGACACAGGGAGAACATTTGATCCTTCGTCTCTATAATGAAAGCGTCAACAAGAAAATTTAAAAGCTGTGATGGCTGATTTGATACCCATTTCCTAGGACCTGCTCTCACATCCGTCTCATTTTATAGAGATATGCACGCTTCGGTCATTACCAATGTACACAGCACTCAGGTGAGGACCTTGGGATGAAAATCATAGTGGGGCCCAGCTAATCCCCAACTCTGGTAAACAAATCTCTCCCTCATATTCTGAAAACACCATTTGTAAATACTACTTTCACTTGTGCTTTTCATCCACAGGGGAAAGGAGTAAAGGATGTCTACCTGAAAAACTATTTTGATATAAGTGGATGGGACTTTCCTTTCCAGCTGGGATACGCTATTGATTTCACATGTATTCCCTTTCTACGTTCATCAGTAAAGAATTGCATACTTACCGTAGAAAGTCAAATAGCCAAATATGGCAGTCATAAAGTACATCACAAACATGGCAAAAAATGAGATATTTGAAACCAACTGCATTTTTTTCTGTGAACGGCTGGAGAAAGAAGAAAAGAACACATAAAAATGGTTGGACTGGATTTTTCAATAGCTGTTTAAAAATGTATTAAGTCTTTGCATAAACATAGTAATTCTGGGGAGACTTGTGAATGCATTTTCATTTAAAACAGGAATTCACTGACAGCTGCACATGGAAGAGAAGGCCTGGGGAAACGGACCCTACTTGGGGCTATAGTCAAGAAATGGCGGGACCACCCTGTGGCTCTGCCGCCTAAACAGAGTAAAGGGTGAAGACAAGTGGAGACGGATGGCCCTTAAACACGTCAGGAATTAAATTAAAAAGCCAAAATAAAGGCAGGGTAAAATTACACACAGGAAAAAAAAACCCAAAACATTCTGAATGTTTGCAAAGGAACATTTGTGTCCCCATGGGTAGAAAATAATGAACGTGTGCAGACAACTGTAAAATAGGGTGAGTGTAAACATTTCATTTTTAGATATTTGTTCTGAAATACTCACACTCTGGTACCTAAAGTTAAGCTTTCAAATCCACACAGGGATGCCCTATATAGGCACCCAGGAACCTGCTGGAATCCCTTGAAACTCAAAAGCACCTAGCAAGTGACCGGGACCTGAGGGTACCCAGGGGTCTGAGTGGCCCCCGCCTCTCCCCTGGGGCTCCCCCCGTGGCCCGGGACCCAGCCCTGCCCAGCCAGAGGTGCCAGCGAGACAGCCGTACCAGCAAAGGTCATTTAGTACAGGCGAGGCTGAAAGTACTTTTTTTTCCCCTGGTACCACCACAGGTTTTTAGCTGCACTGGAACAAATGCCGTTAGCTGAACACACGCCTCGTTCCTATGCCAAAGAACAACCGGCACAACTTGGCTCTCCCCAGGCTGCCGTGTACTCCTAGAGAAAACTCCCATTATCCTCATGCATTATCCTCAACCTCCCTCGCCCCCGCCCCAGCGGCACGCCTGGGAGGCCAGATTTCCTAGCTGACAGCCACGCTCGCTGGCTTGTTGGGTGTTACTAAAGCACATCTCCTCCGAACGGTACGAATGACTCAGAGCACCTCTGCGCTAACACTTTCCATGCAAACCGGTTCAAAACAATTAACTGGAAAAAAAAAAAAAAAAAAAAAAAAAAAAGGAGAAAGGCTTACTCTTTAAGTTCGCTGTAAATTGGGAGGACTGACGGGTGGCAGACGAACGCAAAAGCAATGGTGGGCAAAGCATACACGGTCTGTTTGGAGAGAATTTCAGAAAAGAAGTTAAGAAGTATTTTCCCCAGCGACGTGAAGAAATGATCCGTGTTCAACTACCTCGGCTCCCAACTCTCTGGACTCTTCAACCCAACGTTGAGAGCCTTCAGAGAAGGCAGAAGACCCGACAATTAGCACGTATTTAATGAAATATGGAGAGCAGTGCTCTTTCAAGGGGAGGACAAAGTCTCCGCGTCGGTCACGCGAGCACAGCCCTGACTCTGCTCGCAGAGCGGAGCGCTGGGCGCCGCACGGCTGCTGGTTTTGCTCCCTGGGATGGGTTTCCCTGCTCAGCTACTGCCACCGTTACTAGCACACCATCACGCGCAAAAGGGACGTATGGTGGGTCACCGCTACGCTACCCTGCCTTGGCATGGAGAGGGGTGCGCACCCATGGTGCTAAGGCTGAAGTCCTGGAGAGGAAGCCCATATCCAGACTGTAAGAAAAGAGAAGAGGAATGCAGAACTTACAAATAAATGAATATTGCAAGGTACCAGACTGAGTCCCTTCATTTCCCAGGCCAACAAAAGGGCTAGGAGGGAGCATGCTTCTCCTTGGGGAAAGAGAGAGACCGTTACGTCACCAGGAAGCACAGGAGGCCTCCGGCGGGGGACCTCACCCCCTTCTCCACCAAAAACCTGAGCGGGTTTCAGTCCTCAGCATACAGCCAAACTTTACAAATTATCTCAGCGCTCAAGCGCTTCCATTCCCCCCAGGGAACGGGGATGAGCAGAGATCGCACGAAAAACAAGTCCTCCAGCGAGGACAAAATGAGTCCATCCCTACATGCGGCTCTCCCTGGTCCTCTGAGATCTGCTTGCACTGGCCACAAGCATCCTCTTCCCACAGAAGCTGTCCTGGGGTACGCCCCAGGTCTGACAGATTCAGTAAATACACTGGTTGCTCTCCAGCAGTCCTTCCTCACCCGGGCCTGTGCCGCCTCCTCTCCCTCCCTCACAGCATGCTACTGTTGTAGAGTCTCCATCCACGGAGATATTCAGAAGTTGCCTGGACATGGTCCTGGACAACCGGCTCTGGTAGCTCTTGCTTGAGCAGGAGAGGTTGGACCCGATGACTTCCAGAGGTGCCTTCCAACCTCAGCCATCCTCTGATTCTGTGAAGCTGTCTCTCCTCTCACACACCATGGGTGCTAAACTGACTGGCAAACTGCTGGCCCCGAGGGCAAATCTCCTGAGTTCAGATCCAGTGTGCCTAGTTCAGATGGACCGATCCGTCTGACGTGCCTCCATCGACTCCGAGGCAAATGCTGACACTGACTGCAAGGAGAACAACACTGCCTTTTAACGCTACCTATCTAAAATACACCTACACCTAAGCTGCCATCGCACACCAAGTTGACTAACTCCTGGTCAGTCACATCAGGTCTGGGCTGATGGCTACCCCCAGCTAAAGAAAAGTGCTTGGATTGGCTTCTCGAATTTAAAAAAATGTAATCTTTGCGTGCGTATGCTATACATGCGCGTTCCCTATGACTGCAGCAGTGACAGCCCGAGGACCCTGCCCTGCTGCGTGAGGTGCTGTTTAACGAGCCCTGCGCCCCAGCACAGCTGACAGGAGCAATCCTCCTGCTCCCACCGCTACAGCCAGTTGCTCTTTTGCATTCTCTTGGCACAACTTTTCCTGCAGCTGTGTGGCGACGGAGGAAAGCATCCAGCTGAAAGGCAATCAAATTTTTGCCGGATTAGCTTTCAGCTGTATCCTTTTCCCGATCCAGTTCACCATATGGCTACAGAAACACGTCCCCTGCCACAAAGAAGTGGTTTGTGTGCAGAAGGACAGAGGGATTACTTTTGGGCTTCGGATGCAGGAATGGCTTATTCAGCCTCTGCAGAACTACAGCCTAAAGGCGCAGCAGCAGCACGGACAGTAAGAAGCAGTGGAAAAGAAAAACTCTCCCAAAGAAAGCGTTTGTTGCCTGGGGGTAGCTTGGGCTCACAGCCTTAGCACATCTACTACCGGGGCAGGGCAAGACCGCAAGGAGGTACGTTCAACCCGGCATCTCCGTAAGACTGGGCAAGGAGACCCCTTGTGCCTTCACCACCGGAGCACGAGAGGAAGCGTGCAGAATCGGGCCCCACGTGGTGCTGATCGGATTAAGAACACGGGGTGTAGGTGCATATATTATGGGAATTAAAAATAAGTATTATAAAAAGAAACATACCTTGGAATTAAAGATAACATACTTTGGCTTACACATATGTTCATGTGTTGAGCTATTTGATAGCACAGCTGATGTTGCATTTAGTTCCGATCCGCCACAGGGAATTTGAAACTTCTTGTAAATAACCTAGAATAAGAGCAGAAGACAGCTAATTGCTAAAAATAATAATAAAAAGCAAATTAAAATTAAAACATCAGAGAAATTGCGAATATCCTATGAAGTGACTCTCATCCAACAAAGAAAGCAAGCTGAACTTACCACTATCAGGAAAAATACCATGCAGCTTAATGAAAATCCACTGGTATAGCCAAGATACCCTGAAAGAAATTAAAAGGAAATCTCATACAAAATTATTTTATTAGCCGTACCTTGGTTTTTACTTCTTTTTTGCTGCTTCATGAAAAGTTTAAAAGTATTATACATTTAATATGTACCATGAGCTTCTGGACAGGACAAAAGCACGTCCTGTTGGTGTGGGAGTCTCCCACGTTGCAAGCCTCCTGGCTTTCGGGCAGACCTGAGCTTTGCTCTGACCAGTTGGGCTTCCTGAGGGTCACCTTTATGGCAGTTTAACTAATTATACGTCTGAATGAGGCTGTGGTAATTGAAACTAACCTGAAAACGTGCAGTTGCAATCAGAACGTGACCCAGATTCCCTGATAGGAGCCATGTCAGCTGAGTATGGGTTATTTTCTCAAAAGGAAGATCCCAACAGGACTTCAGTGCCAAAACTTGTTACATGGTTTTAAAAAATACATTATGTACCTACTAGCATCTCTTTCAAAAATATTTGAAAATGCAACCATCTATACACCTCTTACTTCCAAGTCCAATTAACCTCACCACTAAAAATTTCAACGCTAATAGAAAAAGAAATTATTTTTTGTAATCTAACAATTTGTGAATTTATTTTTACAGCCTACACGTAAAATAGAATTGCCTTATGAAATGAAAACCCTCTTAACTATAATTTTTTAAATCAATTGCCACAATTGTATGGATGAAGCTGGTTTGTACTGAGTTCATTTGCTATGACAATTGAGGTCTACTGGTTCCGAGATGCTCAAAACACAGCTTATTCCTGGACCAGGGACACTGCTTAGATTACAATAAGAGCACTTTTTTTTTTTAATTATTATAGTTGAGTTGTGAACGTGGCTGTCAGTGGCATGATGCCTGGGCTCCTTTATTCTATACCCACAATGACATTTGCATCTTACCTAAGTTCTTAAGGAGACATAAAGGGAGGATTATAACGAACGTCACTGTGACAACAAGAATCCGCCCATCCACGTACCAGTCCCTGTATAAAACATTAAGAAAAAAACCAACACCATAAGCACACCTTAAACCCTCTTTGGTTTTCCTCACACTTGGTCATCCTCTTTGATTGCCGCAGTTACAGAACTATCTTTGGTCTCCTTACCCCTACAAGCTCCTACAAAAGAAGAGATGGGGGCCAGATCTGAACTTTGTAGACGCATTAAGTATCCGGCCCTTAAAACATGGCACTGCTCTGACTCAGATACGGCTGATTTTCATAGTCACTAGAAAAATTATCACCCTACTGCTGAGATCGGTGAGTGGGACTGAGAGGCAGAACAAACCACCCTCCGAAACCTGACATAAGCCACCCTGCTGGGACGAGGAAAGATGATGCAAAGGGCCACACATACAGCAAGGAGGGGCAGCGGGGGACACCACGATTTGTTTGCTAAACCACCCGGCCACGTGCCTGGAGCAGCAAACCGGGCTCCCGCGGGCTGGCACACACTAGCCCAGCCCAAGGCTGTATGCCCTTCTAGCAAAGTGCTTTGAATCCTGCTGGAAAGCAAGAAAGGGGAGAAGGGAGAGCGTTAGTGATGCTCTGTATGACCTATTTCCACTGCTCGGTCCAATTTAGTATGCAAGCCTGAGGAACGGGATCTCTCCCTTCTTCTCATGCACTACAGCACGCCATATAACCCACTGCAAAGGATATTTACCACTATAAAGCAATACCACCCCTCTGTTAAAGAGGTTGATAATGTCAAGGAGTGATAAGTGGCAGAAATCTAAGTAGAGTATTCTGCTGTTGTCATATGCTAGCATCGAAGAATTTCATTCTATGGACAGTGCTTTAGGGGCAAAATCCTGTGAAATGGTAAGAACGCAGGGAAATACATACTATCTTAAACTTGCACTGTTCCCAATGTCTTCAAGTGTTGCTTAACACTGTAAAAGGTTAGATCCAATGATTAGAGGTTTGTACAAATCACAGTTCTGCACGGAAATCTGGTGTGTGTAGAGAGCAACTGATGATGACTTAACCTCTCATTTCCTAGCCATCTTTTCCTTTCCAAAGCTGTCTTGTTCTTATTAGCTCCCCGAGATATTCCTGTGAAAATCTACTTTGACAAACCTAAGGAGTATCCAATACTTAAGAGCTTTTATAAACATATAGTTAAACTTATCAGCACAGCATTAAATTCTATAATCCAATCACCAAAATGCATTCAACTCACGTAAAAGTTTCTTCTTTTCCCATTAGAAACTTTATGGCAGAAGGCAGCTCATTTTTGACTATGAAGAGATAGCTCAACATTGCTGGAAGAAGGAGAAAGTCGGTTTAGAAAATGGCTAAGAGATTCTGTGGAATAAGTACAGAGAAGCATCCTTTTCCCACATCAGCCTCTGATGACAGAAGACCCCAAACTATAATTGGCTGTCAACTACTGATCATTCAGTAATACAGCATTTTTAAAGGGCTGCATGCAAAGTGTTAGCCACGGCTGTATTGAGGAGCATGAAGATCCCAACACGTCACTGAGAGAAGGAGGAACCTGACTGCTTGGCAGCCGTAACATTATTAAGATGTCCCTGGGTCTTGTTTTTCAATACCCCTCATCTCCTTTACCTCCAACGTTCTGAAGAGATGTAGATCCAAAGACGATCATTTTCCCTGGGGTACCGAAGATCTGCTCACCCAGCTTTTCATACACCATGCAGCCTGCATGAAAAAAAAACCAAGGAGAAAGGTAACAAATACCCCAGTGAAAGCTGTGGAGTCAAAACACTCATGATTCCTTTTCAGTTAACCACCCATCTGTGCAGCCATATCTGCCCTTTGCAAGTAAATAGAGAGCTCTCTTGTAATTACTAGGGCTGAAACTTATGTAGGAATGTTTTCTTGACACCTATAAATGTTATCGTTGGCTACCAGTCCCTTTCGAAATTGAAGCTCTTAATGAGGCTATTACGCCCCTTTAATGAGTCCGCCCGTACCCCTAGCGACATGTTAAGTTCTGGCATCCCCATCCCGCCGTATTGGGTTTGCAGCCGCAATGCCAGTGGCGTAGCGGGATCTGCAAGCCAGCGCGGGCAGCCTGGCCGCAGCAGACCTCGAGTACTGTGATTCTGCCATTCTGCTTGCTTTGACTAAACGATCCAAATGAGGGCAGCCACTGGTTTACAGGGAGATCTACAATTCCTAATGACGAAGCCTTAATTTGTGAATTCTCAGTGCGGTATGTTTTTGGTAAAAGCAGGGAAAGGTGTAAATTATAACTAAAACATCTTTTTAAATATCTGTCAAGCTTGAGAAACTCCCTGTTAATTGGTTTGTGTTTCTGTTAAATGTTTTTTTTTTTCCTTGGCTCTAATTTAGGCTGAGAAAAAGACTGGACACTGTGAAGATGGTGAGACACTTGACAACAGAAAAGAGAAATATTGCAGATGTTACACTGTACAGATGATTTTTAAAATGCATCCCATTGTTTGGTTTTCTCTATATTTTCTTATAGCTGACATTTCTGCTTTGACTCTTGTATAAACAAGAAGTTTGAGCTTAAATGTACCAGCAGCACAGAAAACAGGGCTTAGGTTTTGGGAACTAACAGGGCACAAATGTGTCCACAATTAGGCACGTGTACCTAATTTAAATAGGCAGTTGCTGCCATTACACACGCCCTAACAGCAAGTCATGTGTGTTCAAATTCATAGTAAAATATTACAGTGTTCTTGTGCAGAGATCATTTTAAAAATCTGGCTTCAGAATATTTTACCCAAGGAAAGAGACTCTTGGGCTTCGGAGCGCAGTGACATTGAACGCTGTAGGTAGCTTCTAATTTCTGTGTTTAGAATCATTTGCTTACAGATACACTTCTCTCTGTGGAGGAACTGTTCCCCTTTATTTTCTTCTACGAAACCTTCTACTACACCACCAAGGCTATCAGGAATTTCACATTAAGGACAAACTGTATTTCCAGGTAAGCTTCACCATAGGCAAAGATTCATTATATTCCATTTGCAATTGGCTTTGTAATGAGAAGGAACTATATGAGGTGTTCCTTCTAGCTCACTGAAGACAACATTTCACGGTAGAGCCCACACTTTGTCGTCAGTTTTTCTCTTATTAATTCTGGGCTTCTGACCCAAAATGTGTTAGGCCTTTCTATGGTTTCAGCAAAGTGATAGAAACTCCATCTTATACAAAGCACCTGGCCTTATTTGAGCACTTTTCACCTCTTGTTCTTTACAGGTCTACTGAAATGGTGTAATAACATCTTAAGTTACCTGTTTCCTTTGAACACACCAACAGGAGATATATTGAATAAATAGACAGCAGCGTCACTGAAACCAAAAGCAGCCTACAAAAGAATGGAAAATAAAGCTTATTGTAAGAGCTGAGCTCTAACATTGCAGTATTTCACGTCAGGTCATATTCCCATTGACCCTGAGATAATTTTTATGCTCTTCTGACAATGCAAAAAGCCCTAAAAACACAGGTGGTTCACGTGCTTTTGGCAGTTCCACCACACCACCATGGAGGTAGAAAGCCCTGCATGCAGAGGGATTCAACCGGCTAAAACTTAGCAGAGCTGCAGAGCGCAGGCTCCATCATGAAAGAAGCAAGAATAAAGATGTCTTTTCAGGTAGGAATTAAGATTCGATCAGAGCCAGGAATGTCCCTCACCACCCACTCTAAAGCTTTTTTTCTGGAAGTAGAGTAAAAATTTCCAAGGGAAATCCTCTATTTAAAGACTTCCATACCAAATGGAAGCATCTTTTCTCAGGACATGTTGCATGTGCTACCAAAGGGGTACCCAAGCAGCTTTTTATGTGTCTCCCAGTGCACAAGGAGGGGGAAGAGGAGGGAAGTTAAGGCTAGGATGGCTTCCTTTGGGAATAAAGGCAGAAACCAAAGGCTTATACTTTGTGCAGGTGGGGACTGGTGTTCCCTCGCTGATGTCATTCCTGGTCTGCCGTGATCCATAATTTGACTTCATGTAGAAAAATTGCAGGAAGTAATGACCAAACTGTTTGTGTAGGG